AATGGCTGCACGATATATGATCTTTTACTGATATTTAATGTTCCATCACAACCTCTTTGAACGTACAAGAAAAATAAGTAACTTTTTCCTTGTAAGTTAGCTGGGTAAATATAACATGGACAAAACCTGCTGGTTTGTACAGACCTGAATATTCAAAAGGTCATTTTAAAACCTTTAGGCAGCTCATGAAGTTCTTCATTTGAACAATGTTGCTAATATACATACAAGAATCTTGCCCTTAACTGGGAAAGTTAGTCTTTAAAATGTATTCTCTGGTGCTGCTATGCCATCTAACAGATGGATCAATTACTACTTTCACTCACTGATATAAAATGTAGTCACTTGCTTGTAAGCTGTTATTAAATAGTGCATGACTTATTTTTTTATAAAATGTATCCAAACGAAAATAAAAAAAGAAAAATGTGATCTACTTTGTGTTTGCAGGTGTTCAGTAACAACATTTTTATTTTTATTTTTATTTAAATTATATATTTTTCCATTAGACTTTATGGCCAGCCATTTAATATGATAGCTATCCAGGTTTATGCTCGAAACACTAAAAAGAAAAAGAGGTTGATGAGTTTCATGGTCAAATTCAAACTGAAATGGACTGAACATGCAAGCAAGATGTGCTGCTTGTGATTGGAGATTGGAATGCCAAAGTGGAAAATAGTAAGGAGGAAAATGTAGTTGGACTATATGGCCTAGGAAACAGAAATGTAGCAGAAAAAATAAGTTTATCACTCCATTTTTTTCTTCATTGTTAACACTGTCTTAACCAAAATGATGTATACATGGACATGATCAGATTGAGTACACAGAAATCAATTTGATTATATTATTGGTACAAGGAGGTGAAAAAGCTCAATTATTACAGGCCAGGGCTGACTATGGAACAGATCACAGACTGCTCATGTGTAAGTTCCAAGTCAAGCTAAAGCAGCAGAACAAAGCCAGTCAGTTTCCACATTATGATCTTGAACATATTGCCACCATTTTCAAGACAAACATCAGAAATTGCTTTGAAGTTCTGAACCTCACTGATAAGGAACCAGAGGAACTGTGGAATGACATAAAAACTTAAAGTTAAGGATGAATGTGAAAAGAGACTGCCAGAGACCAAGAAACAGAAGAAACTGATCAGAACAAATGGTGAAAACTGCCAAGAAGGGAAGAAAAGCCAAGGCCTAGAAAGACAAAGATCTCAGGAAGGATCTTAACAAAGAATTTCAGAGAACTGTTAGAAGAGACAAGAAGCAGTATCTTAACAACAGCTGTAAAGAAATCAAAGATGAAACAGACTCAGAGAAACAAGAAAGTCTTTCCAAAGATCTCCAAACTCAGAAGAAAGCTCCAACCTTGAATTGGTATGCTAAAGGATGCCAATGGACAGATAGTAACTGATTTAAAAAAGACCAAATGAAGATGGAAGGAATATACTGAAATTCTGTATAATAGAGGTGTCAACATCCAAGCTACAGTACTTAAAAGATCTTAGTTACAGAAGATTATGTTAGATCAACGCTCCAGGCATTACCATGTTGGAAGGCTACAGGAATTGATGGAATATCTACAGAAATATGGCAAGCAATAGAATAAGAATCATAAATAGAACTTGATTTCTTCTCCAGTTTAGGCTACCCAACCAGATGATTTAGAAAGATGCTTTCATCATTTCACAAGTACATGTGGAATCCTTGGAGATGGCTCTTCTCTTTTACCATCTGTCTCTTTCTTTGTAATCACTCACTTTCCTATTTACTCTGTCTCTCAAATGTAATGGGATTAGTTATCTACAGTTCTGTTTTCTGTATAACTCTGTGTTCTTCATGGTCTTGAATGGATCTTTGCAAGAGTCTCATCTGTTACAGTTCCTTTCCTTTCATTCTTGATCTGAGTAAAAAAAATCATATCTAAAGCTTATTTCAACTTTGAGCTACATTTAAACTAGCAAAACTCTTCTTCAGTTCTGACAGTTCTATGCCTAAATCTGACCACCATGTCCCAGTAGAATTAGCTTTAGTTGACAGATCTCAAAGATATTTTGAATTTTCATCTCCTGCTTTGTTCCTGCCCATTGTGTCTCTCTACTTTTCCATTTGAAGTTGAACACAGTACTGTCTCCTTCCTGTGGCAGGAACATAGCCAAGGTACTTGAGCAAGCACAATAGAACAGTGCTTCATGACTGTTAATTTTGCCCAACTTTAATTCCTGATCCTGAGGGCAACTTCATTTCTTTTCTACCAGTTTTTCTCTAACAGTGACTAAGGCAGCCAGGTGGTTCTTCATGTCTTAAAATGTTGCTTTTAACATTCATGCAATGTGTTTACACAACCGTTTAGAGGTTGCTGAACTTGAAGTCCCAGCAGCCCCAGCCAATGTTGTCCATAAGGGAGTCTAGTGTAGTATTTCAGTAAGATTTGGAAAGCCATAGGTTACTCATTCAGGATTTAGAAGAAAGCCAGTGAAAGCTCTTTTCCTCGTTCTACAGAATCATGAATCTTTTCTAGTTCAGAGATTTTTGCTATAGTGTGCTTGGAGGTGGTGTTCTTGGAATATGTGAATAAATGAGCTCTCTTATCAGACTTAGTGAGTCAGTTAATTAGATACATCTTTTTCATGGCTGGGTTCACATATTATGCTAACCCAAACCCAAGTCATATTATGTATGATTAGCACACATGAGGGAACCCAACTAGCATTATCTTGCTCTCAACAGGTTTCCCAGTCTTGCTTTGTCCCACTATCCCAGACTTTTAAAAGTAGAAGCTATATTTGAACTTGTGTTTTGCACATGTAGAGCATCAGTTTTGCTAACAAGCAATACTGTAGTATGTTCCCTGTAGGTGAGGACTGATTGGAGTCAATATGAAATAGAGACTCAACTGGGTTATATAGCTTGTCAGTGTTAGAAGATCTTCTGAAAGTGGTTTCAGAGAGTTGCTTAACCCACAACTCCCATAGTTTGACTTGATGTATCTCTGATATCAGGATACTGATAGGACAATTGTTGAAAATTTTGGGAAGCATAATTTATTTATATAATATCTTCTTTTCAAAACCATGACTGAGTTTAGTTTTTCCAAGCAGTAATGAATTACCTTGCTTAACATGTTACCTTGCAATCAAAATTCAATGGATGGTATAAATACATTGTCCCAGCCATCTCAGATATATATTCATCAAAATAATGGTGTATTATCAGAATTTCAATTTGTCTATATACATATCTAATTATACAAACAAATCTTAATGGAAATACTGCATGAGAAAAAAAATTCAGAATCCTCTGATTTCTCTTCAGATCATAGACTGTAAATCTTTCGCCTTTTCATAATGCAATTTTGGAAAGGATAATGGAAAATTGATAGCAATGGCAGAGTGACGTTGACTGATTTTATGAAACTGTAAGCATGTAGAGGAAGAGATCGGATATTTATTTGCATCAATAGGAGTATTATTTCAAATTCATTCTAGTTCTTGACAATACTGTTAAATTATTCTGTTATATAACTAATGCTGCATAGGGAAGAACCTTAATAGCTATGTCCAGAGTACATCTCTGTTAGATTGATATTAAATAATTCTATGTTATTCTTTATTTGAAGCTGCAATTGAGTTGTCAACTTCTGTCAATCACAAGTGTTAAGAACGGAAATGCTACAACTCAGGTCTAGATATGATGCTTGGTTTTTCATCTGCTGTCTAGGCAATTGGCAGACTGAAGTGAGAATTAAAACAGGGAAAAAGTTGTAGAATGAATCCAAACTCAAGAGGGCTAAGTGTCTCTGATGTAGCCTGAAAATTAAATGCAAGGAATGTCTCCAAAGTGATCATGGTGCTATTCATATTTCACAGGCCAACTCCAATCATAATTCATCCTTTTGGATTGGGTATCAGTGGGTTCTCTCACATGCTTCCCCTCCTTATAAATGCATCAGTTCCCTCTTCCACTGATTAGTTATCTGTTTGGTGATTCCATGGTTTAGCTGAGATATTCAAATATACACTGTGGAGTTTTTAGAACAATCTTTCTGTTTGATTGTGTGTAAGTCGCATATGAAACTCTTGATATGATCACCACATACATGCAGAATGGGAGAAGAATGGAATTCAATATTAAATGCAAAACAATACCAGTCACACAGAAGCATTTTCATATCCACCACTGTATTCGTTGTCATAAGCGATTATTTTGAGCGTCATCACTACATCTCACAGAGCACCAACTTACAAAAGTGCACATTCTGAGCATTTCATTGAAGCAATTGCAAACCATAAAGGAGGATCAGAAGTAACATAAGAGAGAAGGAGAGAGAGAAAAAAAAAAAGGCTAAAGGCCCCCAAGCTTATCTAAGTAATTCCAAATCATGGTTTGATATTCAGTTGAGTGAGTCCTCTAAATGGGATATTCAGATGAAATGCTAAATTCTGTAAGGATCTTAGCACTGAGAAAGGCAATGCAAGGCTGAAAACATTATACACATTTCATTGAGTGCTCTACAAAGAGGTACGCTCAACTTCACAACTCCACGCTCATCCTATTTGATGTTTCACCACCAGTCCTCTTTTAGGATCATAGAAGTCTTGCTCAACTAATTGTTTTGGTCATCCTTAAGGATGCTTCAGCCAGTCAATAGCAATAGTAGCACTGTTTAGCTGTTTCAAGAAATATACTTAACTGTCTTCCTTGTATAGACACCCAACTCATTTTCTAAGATATAGTATTATACAACACCAGCTACACTCATGAAAATATCTCTAATAGCCCATGAGACATATCTAAGATGAAAACAAAAGAAAAATACTCC